CTTTTCGTGATCGCGTTGCTTTTTCTTGAGCTGTGGTCGGAAAGCTGATATCCTGGACGATTGCCGGGTTGGTGACCGGCTGCCGGATCAAATAGGAGAGTTCGGAATTCCCAGTTGCAGAACTCCCAAATGGAGAAGTGTACCAGCAGACAACCTGATCACGTCGATGATTGGTCCTATTAGTTGGTTGGGTATATCGGACATCCCAGACGTAGCAGTCGTGTTTCTAAGACGCAAAATGTGACTATTCGGTGCTAGCTCCAATGAACTGCGGTTTTCGCGTATTGCTCTTCTTAGGCTACATTAACGGCTTTGGTTATGATTTACTTCGTTTTTGACCGGGTCGAATGTGAGGGTTTAAATTCTCCCTAAATAATTGGCAGCAAGCTAGACCTGAGTCCACAATGCCTCGGGGTAGAAGCTGGGACAAGGAGTTGGGTCAATCAGCTCTCTTTTGGGTTAGATCAATACGTGATCCAACAGACGACCATTATTGAAGTGTAGATGTGACACGTGTCGTGGCGTTCAATTGGTTGACACATTTACCGAGTGCTTCATATCGCGTACTTCTGCTAGAACAGTCACCAATATTTCGCGAAACTCAGCGCAATTAGTCTAAAACGTATTGAGTGAACAAAGACATTTGAACTACCAGTCCCAGCCAGTATAAACTTTATCCCTCTACGGATTTGGGCATTTTGGACTAGATTGAACGAAAGTAATTGACTTTCGTCAGTGTGGTTTCTGACAGTTTTATTAGGCAATTTTTGCCATGACAACGTTTACAGTTCACAGTTTGTAAAACATTTTGGTATTTTGGTACCCGTTTAGGGTGGGTTACCTCTTTTCGCTAGGCTTTACATTCTCTTCTGCGGATTGCACAATTACATTACCATAGTGTGAAACACGTGTCTGCTCTTTGAATTACTTTTGCCTTGGAGTGGATTATTATCGGAGGTTAGAAATTGAGAAAGTTCACTTGGTAATGATCCTTGGAATAAAACTTGTGGATATCACTGATTCGTTCATCATTCAGCTCGCCAACGGGATGAGAGAACGATTTTCTATTAAGTTGCTGCGTAATCTTCGTTGAATGGCATCAAAATTCAATGTTCACCAAATAACGAGGAAAAGTATAAAGTCTGAAGTCGCAAATATAGCTTGTTTTTAACAAGATTATGAAACGAAGTTAACATCTTTTGTCTTTTAGCAGTCTCCATTCTAAAACTAAGAAACAATCTAAAATGCATTTTCGAAAGCGCCTAGTCAACTGTAATAAATCATATATTCGAATAATTTTTTATTATTGGGGCATCAGACCGGAATACAGATTGACTTATTTGGTTATGTGGGGGAGCCTTTAACACATCCGACGGTACGAAGTATCCGCTACAATCGAGCTTCAATTATCTCGTCAGTCCATCGCCAAACTTACGAGAAAGAAGTGTGGCCATTCATTAGAAATAGGGTTCAAAGAGAAATGTTATATGTGCGTATCAACAGTGGCTTCCATCCGACACGTATTGAAGTAGTCCGTTGCCTTATATCGTTATCCGAAAGTCGATACGTTTTACGTCATTCAGAGTGCATTGGAAAATTGGAGTGGCGGTGAAAATCTTATGGATCGCTTACATACACAGAGTCATTGAAATTTGAGTTCGATCGGGGCTTTTTACATGCATATAAAGGATTTGTAATAACAGACTAGATGGGTTACTCTGTGATCGTCTTTTTGCATTGGTGGATTGGGACTACCCCTCACCTTTTTGAGAGCACACTGCTCGTCTTATTCGACATAGTGTCTGACGACGTTTCTCATGCATTCTCTGGTGATTTAATGCAAACTGGATCCCATCTGTTAGCTCACAAACCCCCTCCGCACTTGTAGATACAGGCTCAGTGATTTCCGTGTGGCAAGAAGCAAATAAAATTCGTTTTCTGTTTTGTCTTTTTTAATATAAGTGGATGGAGGTTATATGAACATGGTTGACGAGGGGCGTGCACCGCACGGTTTAACGCACAAGTCACCCTAGTTCCGGTTTGAATGAGTTCACCAGTTGACCGTTCCACATACCGAACTGATATCACTCTGTTGCCATTCTTGGTTGTCGCTTTGGTTTTGCGAAATTTTCCTTTGGAAAGCAGTCTGGGATAAGGTTTCTCTACCTTGTCTTTTAACGTTTTTCACTCTTGTTTACCCGCATTGCCTCATTTCGTTCTGAAATTTTTTGTGTTATATCCTACAGTGTATTTGGTCCTTCTGAAAACATGTGATTACATTGGACCCTTCGGAAGTGTGGTGATAAACAGGATGATTCTATAGTTTTATTGCTCAGCTTAGTGCCTCATCGTTGTAGTTGTATTGGATTTGTTCATCCATTTCGTTTTTCTGTTGGGTTTCGTTGTGTTTCAGAGGTCGTATCGTAATAAAAAAGGGTTTTCACTATCTCAATGGGTGGGTTCAAAATCTCGTAGACCCTAGATGATTTGGAAGCGAGCTCTTGCTTTGCGCAGAACTTAGCACCCGAATTGCGGTAATTTACTCGTACTACTAAGAAATTGTCAGTAGCCCATGTGAACGTAACATCTATTTTCTCGTCCTCGGTTAAATTTCCTCAAATTTCTGCTCATTATTCTTCAGTATCGAATGCAACCTTTATATTCATTTATACAGATATAGTAATATAATAATAACATGGCCCACGTGGAGGAAAAACCAATTGTTGCTATTGTACTGAAACTTTCCCCCCGATTTCGCACACCATTTTACGTGATGGATTGAGGATTTCATAATTCATTTCAGCATCCGACGCGCACACACATTGCCGAAAAGAACAAGATACACGATCGTGATTTCGGGTTGTTCTGCTATCCCGCCTCGATTCTGTCGGGTCAACTATCGATTGATTGTCGGTGAAGACAATATTGTAAGCAACTTGATTCGGTTATTGTATTCAAGCCGGAGATGAGCTAGCCGTTAAAGTGGTAATACCAATGCTTTCAAGCGGAGTTCAACTTCAGGAACCTGTGAATATGCACCATTGATGAGTTCTAAAGAGAGTAAAGATCCAGGTTTTTGCTTCCCGTGTACCTGATTGACCCAATGCAAATGTCACGTCTCACAATACCATCACAGCCTGCAATGATTCACCTAGAGTGATGCGCAAAAAACCGTAAGACTATGTCTTTTAAGAAATGGGTTTCTTCTACAAAAATGTAAAATATACAAACAAACTGTGGCACTATCCGGTTTAACAAACGCCGGAAGATGTGAAGCCAGTAATTTAACAAGCAAGAACTGCGAGCAAGCAGGCGCGCAGCGCGATGACAATGGAACGAATTCACCAAAACAATGTCAAACAAGATCACGTGCATCTGTGGTAGTCAATGATGGGAAGTGATCTAAAGGGAATCAGTCGAACTATAGTGGATGTGAATGTTATTCATTAAGGAAAGCCGTTGGCACGGATCAATGAAACAAGTGAGACCAACATAGATGGTTTTGTAGCGGAGCAAACATACCAATGATGCGTACATATATGCAAATGGCTTGGAGGACAGACATAGGCATGGATCTATGGGAGACTATGAACCAACAACTCATGGGCAAAATAGAGAGATGGAGAATAAGACAGTGGTGCGGAGTGCATATCAAGTATGTCGAGTTGAGGCAGAATTTATTCATGATTGATTGATTAGAACTGACCATCCTCCAAACTTCACCTTCACACACATTCCTCAGCTCTTCCAGTCAACCCTACACTCGGAAACACCAGACTCGAGTTTCTCTCCTGTTAGAATGGGCAATACGGTTCAGCCTTGGCATGTGCTGGTTGGCACACAGGCGTTCCATGCGATGGGTTCGGAGTTCAAACCCTGGCCGGCATGATGAATGTGCACTTCTGTTGAGCTCTAATAAGAGCTTAACTCGAGTCCAGTGCTACCGAGTGCATGGCTGACTGGAAGAGCTGACGATTGTGCGTGAAGGTGAAGTCGGAATGGTGGTCAGTTACAAACCATGAGTCAATATCACTTATCGCACAACACTGATTACAAGTAACTGTGGGTAAAATCAGAATTTTTTCAGCAACCGAGAACTGCAAATCCAATCTTAAAGTTTCATACCCATTAATTTGCTGTTGTTTTTACACATTATTTCATCACTTCGTTTATTTTTAGACTAACTTATTGATTTGAATGTCCGTTTCATTAAGTATTGGAACATATGATTGGGTTGGCAATTTGGATCCCTCCCGGTATCTAACCTGGGATCCTGTTTCATTTTCTAATAGTTTGGAAATAAACCTAATAGTGTAGAATTTAAATAGGAGTGGCAAGATTCTTGGGCTTTTTATATGCTCCCACTGAAGTCATGTTCACATGCAGAGACAAATCGGTTTATAAATATTAATATTCGGATCCACTGCCTCGCTGCACCATTTTCTCAAAGAAAGAAGCACTGTTTTCTATTGTTTGAATAACTTGAATATTGTAGAAACGTGTTGAACCTGGTTACAAGTGATATAAATGATTTTATCATCGTTCAACACAAAGGTTTCACCTGAAAGCCTTCGTCATACGAAGTATACACAGCCATTCAGACGCAAGATCATTCGAAAACGAAGATAAGTGGAGTAAAATGTGATCCGTGTCATGTTACGGTGGTATTGTTCTCGATGAGCATCACACCTGAATAGTCGATATGCACACGCCCGCATGCATATACACATACAAGGTGTTTACATCGATCGAAGTGTAATGTTTACAACATGCCGCGTGAACCGCATCGAGGTTATCGAATGCCACCTTTGTGCCGGACTTCTGATTTGTATCGTTCAAACGCCATATTTCAGATAAACGTGTTTTAATGGCACGGGCGGATGATCCGCGCTTGGGTCAATTGTTCATTTCTTTTGATACATGGAAACAACAAAAGACTTCCAATTCCAGGCCAGCAATTGCCCTCATTCGTGTGCCCAGTGATGAAGGAGTCCGACGGAACGGAGGTCGTCCGGGAGCATGTGAAGGACCTGCCGTTCTAATGGATTTGCTACCACGACTTGGGACTGTGAAGAATTGTGAATGGAATATCGATTTAAAGGCCTCCGGTGAGTTTTGGCCCTGCTTTTTACCATCAGAATAAGCCTACGAGTTTGCCTTCATTCGGTCCCACCTTTTATAATTTTTTATAATTTACATTGATCATATATAGATATATGCATTTCTCAAATTGACTCATTGATTTTCACTTTCAAGGAATACAATTCATTTATGCATTTGGTTCGTGATGCAAAGTGGTATACTTTGTTCTGCACTCACAAAAGGATAGGTACTTGGGAG